AGAATTTAAAAGGGAGAAAAAGATTATTGGGACCTGGCAGGGGTTAACCTCGTGATGGCCCTAACTCTCCTTACAAAGTTGGATAGTTCTTCAGGTGCAATATGCTATGTCAGATGGCCATGCCTGGGAGGTCTGAGGTTTAGAGACCGCTCAGATCCGAGAGTTGCTTGATTGATACCCGGATTAGGATAGAAATGGCTGCAAGTGACCCCTGCTGCATGTGAGCTACTAGTTTTCTTTCCTCCAAGTAGAATACCTTGAAATCTTGCTGTAAAAACTGCGTGTTCTTTTTTATAGTTAAAAACAATAACAAAAGTTTAATTGCTTATAGTAGCATATGACCATTCTGTCCCTGATTAATTAGTAGATAAATAAGTAACATTGCGATTAGTGTTAGACAATGCAAAAATTCCCTATTGCTGTTATATATCACATTTAAGTGTACTTGAAAGGCCATATTGGTGGTGACTCTTAAAAAGAGCTTAATTTTAGCCTCAGTCTTGTGCACTACCAATAATTTCTGTGCTTTGAAGGGCTATTTCAGTAAGTGAAACTAAGCATCTGAGCACTGGGACCTGTAAAATTTTATTATGTTTTATTCTGAAGTGTATGTGATTTTACAGATGTTGATTGCCTTTTGGGGGTGTATCTGCAAACATGAACAGTCATAGTAATTATCCATCACTTTCTGTTACTTTATCTTTGTTATTCTATTTCTTGGTTCTATTTTCTATCCCTTTAATATATAAAAATTAAGATAATGAAATATGAAACAAAGAAAAGAAAATATTATAAATTCATGAGAATACCTTCCCCTCCAGAACTATTGTACTGCAGAATTTCTGCAATGATATAGTTAGTGCAAAATTTATTTTTCAAGTTATATTGTGCGTTTTCCTACCTGATGTGTAAGAGTACTGGTATAACAGTGAATGTCATAAATCACTTTTTAAGTCAGTTGATTTCAGTATATTTTTGATTTGTTAAAAGGCTTTTAGAGTTGTTTTTGCATTTAATTCAGAATGTGAGTTTTTTATCACTGCTTAATCATTCTCATTTGTTTTTTAAAAAAAGCATTTGTCTTTTCTGTCAGCTTTGCTGCTATTTAAAATTCTATGAAAAACATCTGCTAGTTTGGAATTTAAAGTTCCATTTTTCTGCATACAATAGAATCAGCATCAGTATGAAAAGAATTAGGCAATTATTTTAATCTTTAATTTAGCTTGTTTTGAATGAAATTACTTTATTATTTAATTTTATCAGATTTTGTAGAGATAAAGAAATGTCTAGTTATTTAAACAGTACGTTTTTACAACATACATAAGCATTGTTAGGTGAAGATAATTTCAGATAATTCATGAAGAGGGTATATGAAGGTTGATGCAGTATTTGAGGGCTACTATACGTTTTCCAGGAAGTTGCATTTATTTCACTGAATGAGCATCTCCAGTGTGCTCATCTAAAAAAGCGTTGTGAAAATCAGAAGGCTATTTGTAAACTCATCATGAACTAATGAACGAAAAGTAAAACACTTCTAAGAGTTTCAAGAAACTATAGAAGGCACTATATGCTTCAAACTGTAGAACTTCAAATATAAATCATATTTGGTGGTAATACTCAGGAAAAAAAAAAAGTTCTATAGAATAAGGTTTAGGCTGCCATCTTTCAAAGGCAAAAGTGCCTGTTGATACTCATGGGAGTTAGGCAACTGCAGTGCAAGACAGATTAAATAATACTTTTAAAATTATGTGCAGAAGTAATAAGAATATTAAAGTTGGGGAGTTAAGCACCAGAAGTTGCCTGTTCCAACCTTAATGTAGTCTTGTTGTACATATACATTATGATAATTCTGTTCCTTGTTATACTGAAAATCTGTTTCAGATTTTCTTAAACGCAAGATTGTCATCTGTCTTTTTTCAGTTCTGTGCTCCATCTCTTGTCTCTCACATACATTGAAAAGTTAAGTATCTCAAAGAAATTCTATCTGATCATGCTGTAAAAAGCTGCATCACAAGTGATAGGCACTGAGGGATCAAATTAACGCTGCATGAGAAGCGGAGTTGTCATCAAAATCCTCTAGTTGGTGGTTTGTTTCTGTTTCTCCCTACAATTACGCTGAGGCCCAGATAGCAGCTACAGAACTGCTTGGAGCTTCCCAGGAGAAGAACTAAGAACTAAAAGTAACACAAAAACTAGTTTGAGTCAGAGTAGTTTTGGAAGGACACTCTCTGAGAAGGTTCCCTGCAGGAACAATGAAGAAGTTGGTGGTTATTGAATTTTTCTATATTTTGAATTCTGATTATATTATGATGAGCCTGACTTGACATATTTCAGGACAGAGTGTATACATTTTTGAGCCTAAGGTTGTGTGTAGTAGAAGGAAAGGTTTTGTTTTCATTGTATGAACATGTCCCCAGTTCAGAGGCTTTGTATGTTTCAAACCATTGTCTGAGTTGCTAAACCAAAGTAACAAGTAGCATTCAGAGCTTGGGCTGTGAGTTTTCAGCATAATGATATTTGTCTTCTACAAGGTTCCTATTTCGAATGAACTGCTTCTGGTGTCTGAGAAATAGGTTAGGTGGTATCCCTAAAATATGTCTGGATTAGATACCTCTGGTTTCTGAGATTCTTGTTAGCATGCCCTCTTGGGTGACAGTTCTCTCCCATCCTTTTCTTGTGAGGTTGTCTGCTATTTCTGCCAATAGTCGTTGCCAGAATTCTTGGTTAGAATTCCTACTTTCCTTACCACTCACGTTGCGATGACCTCTAAATACTGTGATTTTAAGATATATTTATTTGTCTCTGTATGCAAAGATCCTGTTGTCAATGATTGAGAATTGTTTCTTTTACACTTTCATGACAGCTGAAATCTGTGGATGCATTTTGAGTTCAAACCTTGCAGGGTAAACATCTGGCTGATGGAGGCAGAACATTTTCACCAGAGGTTCTTGTGCTTGGAATTTACTTCCTTCTGTAGGTCTGTGTCAAAACCTGACTGAGCCTGTTTAACTCGAGGGAATGGTGTAAAGCCCATCTGTTCACTGAAGCTTTTCCCTGACAGAGTGATTGTAGAGTGTATTTATGTTCTCAGCTGTAGTTGTGCTTTTTCAAATACTTAGTTGATACTTTTAGCTAATTCATGGTTTTGTTTTCTGAAAGGTGTATAGAATATGTGTATTCTTAAAGGAAATTTTAAGAGTGTTGCAGACTGTCCCTGTCTTTAACTTGTAAATACAGGGAATAACACATGTCCCAGCTTACTATGAATGGAGAAATAATGTTAATGAACTGCTGCTGTTGAGAAGAATAGAGTACAGAGAACCCACTGAGATTTCTGTTGTTCTATTTTAAGTAAGCAGAAGTCTCTAGAAGTAAGTGAAAAGAGAAAGCATATGTAGCTGAATATCTTTGCATACCTGGTTTTAAAATATTCTGACAGTGTAATAGGTTGTTACATTCTTTAGAGGTGAAGAGTACTAATGATCTTGCAAATAGTTTCAGTATCTTTGTATTCAAACTTGGAATTACCAATTTAATTTGTTAGGTGGTCTGTGTAATAGAGCAAGGTGACATTCAAATTCTAATCAAAATTTTCTTCGTAAGCCTTTGTTGAGTGCTCTTAGGGGAAAAAGTGTTCAGTTAAGTAATTACAAAAATTAAAAATATTAAATAAGAAAAAAACGAACATCGTGAAACCGTTTTCTGGATGAAGAAATTGTGTTTGCAACATCATGACATACTAAAGTGATTTAGGTTAACATTTCTTGGGAGGAACAGAGACAAGATTATTATGAAGGTGCTTCAAGTGCAAATATTGGCACCAAAATACATTCATTTGTTCTTGTTTGAATGAATAATTTCATTAACTGAAGAACATATTAAGGCTTGTCTACATGAGGAAGCTCTCATAAAATAAGTTATGGTATGAATTTAAAATATAATAGCTATTCAGCACTAACTCTGTACATGAACAATTTTATTCTGAGCTACAAATGACCTTTCACAGTTTAGTTGACTGAACAACATGTAAGTTCCCTCTAGTCCCAGCGATGAATAAATATTTATGTATGGAGTCAGTGTAGAATAGTTACATTAAAAAAAATTACATTGTTAGCTTATTCTGTACTACATTGCCCTCCTTAAAACTGTCCTTAGGACAAAGTATAGTATTATGTTACAAATACGTTCCTACAGGTACTTGTATGCTATACATGGACTTAGAGCAAAACATATTCCTTCTGAGAATATGTACGAAAAATGTTTAAATTGATGACAATATGATTCAGTTAGAGGTAGTGAGTCCAGTATGCTTTACTGGAATCTAGATATGCTCATACAAGTTTGACAGCCATTGTATGTAGAATAAATTAATATACTCATTAACGAAGTTAGATTTACTTGCTTTAGTTGACTTGTAAGGACTAATGATGTAATGAATATGACAGGATTAATAGTGGCTGATGTGTTTAGGATTCAGTCACTAATTACTTATTTTTAGTAAAGATAAAATCAAAATGACCTTATTCTCTTGCATAGTATTAGGAGAATATAACAAAAACTTGATTCCCTTGCATTGTTGCTTATGTCATAGATAAGCAAACGAAGTGAACGTGAGCTATCCTCTATCCAACAGCTTCTGAAGATGGCCACTGTTCTGCTTTATGTGTTTTTAATACGGTGAATTGTGGACGTAAATATGGAAGGTTCACATGAGGATACTGGAAAGTGATTTTACGTGTATATCTCTTAGGCCGTGAAGACAATTGCATTGATTGTGTATTAATATATTTAAATGTGATGTGCATTTTGGATTTCCATAAGAACGTAATGTCAAATACTACAATTTACTTGTTTTGCAGATTTTATTGATGAATTTCTTTTGTTCTAAAACAAAACCACGTTCTTTTTCATGAGCTGTGATCACATTAAGATTTATTGTCTTAAAATGTTTTTCCATGCATTTCTTAAATATACTTTCTTTGGTTCTAAATTTTTCTAAGAAAATAGAAAAACTGGGATTAGAGCTGAATGGAAACAAACAGCGTTTGGAACAAGCCCAGCAGGATGTGGCAGAAGCCAGAGAGGAGTGCCTAAAACTGACAGAACTGCTGAGTAAATCTGAACACCAACTGCACCTCACCAGGTACCCCTTATCCTATTACATGCTGTAGTACCAATTTCATTCTGCTATTATTTTTTTTTGTCACAGGCTTCCCCACAGCTGATATAGATAGTTGCTGCCATTGACTGCATGGGCAGCCCACAATCATATTAAAAGTGGAAATTTGAATGACTGAGTTATGAACTATAATTGTTGACAGTGAATTACTAGTGTGTAGAAAAGGCAGTGTTCAGCTCTGGTGATGAGGTACTGTGGTGGTTACATGCTTTTGGGCAGGACAGAAGAGCCGGGAAGAGCTCTTTTGTTGTAAGTGTGCTTGATTGGACAAAGATACTTTAAAATGTCATTTGAGTGTACAGCAACACCCTTAGGAATAGGAATTTTCAGATTAATAACGTGACGTTTCTGCAGCAGAGTGACCAGGAACATATAAGTATACATAACCATGCTAAGCTTCATTGAAGGTTGAACAATCAAAAGGTAATATTACTCTCTGCACATACAGAGTAAACTCAAGTGCGTGAAGAGGGTGTTTAAGTTACTTTCTCACTGGAAATGTGATACAATGCAAGCATTGTGTGACTAGTGACTTTCCAAGAGCTTTTTCCATCTATTGCTTTAGCCCCTGAACCCACTTACTTTATTACTTGGTATACATTTCTAGAAACCAACAGAAGATTAATGTGCCAATGATTCATTCCAGCTTGAGTTTTGGTAACTGCAGGAATTTTTACCACACAACATTGTCTTACTGTTACAAAGTTTTGGTTGTATGTGTGTTTTTTCTAACCCACTTCCCTCCCTCCCCGAAGAGTGAATATCCAGAAACAAGGACTTGTACTCAGTCCTTAAGCAAAAAGTTGAGTGAGTTTAAATTTTACTTGGGAGGGGGAAAAAAAATCAGATTTTTATCACTTAACAGAATGTCTGCATGTTTATCCAAGTCTTGTAGACTCTTTGTTCCTTGTGAGAATTCTGCCATTGAGTAAATGGAAAGAAAATAGCCTCATCTAAACTATTAGATTCAATGAATCAGTTTTTTATTCAGCTACATTTCTGTGTAATTCAGAGCACGGTAGTTTAACAGATGGAAGAAAGTACCACTCTAACAGCCTGTATTTAGAGAAAAAAATATGCTAGAGGTTAATGAACTTGAAAAAAGTTTTGGGTGAGTTGTTAAGATATCTAAAGTTTGGATTTAGCAGAACTTTATTAATAATGATTTGTTGTGATAGTTAACCAAATGGCTTACCACGCTCCTTTTAGCAAAAGGCTGATTATATGCAGTAAAACTCTGGATATCTTGGAGGAAATCTGACTAGCTAATATATTTTTGTGAAAATGTTCGACTTGTTAAAATGAGCATTATTGACTGCTTCTACATAGTGTGGCACCTACAGCTGGGTAACTAGCATACTGATGATTCAGGTAGCTTTTCAATCTACAATTTTTGACTCAGGTAGTTTGTGAGCTACACATCACTGGAGGCTGGGAACAGTATTTTGGGCAGGTAATGCCCTGTGCTGGCCCAGTTCTTAGAGTATTTAATAGACATCTGCTTTTATCTGCTGTTTGAGACAGATACTGAATTAGCACAGTTTCCTTGTCTGACCTAGCATGGCCTCTCTTCTGGAACGTCCTAATCTTTATTTTATACTTTGTGTTCATATTATAGCCTTTGTTTATAAGTATACTTTTCAGGCATTAAAATGTTTTCTGTAATGACACATTATTGTCAGAAAAATGTATACATTAAAGCATGGGAAATTGGTTCAATTCTTTTACCATAATATTCCTCAACTTCTAGAATACATTGTAGGTTTTGTATCCTCCTTATCTTTGGAGTGCATCTGCTTTCCAGGAGTATATTAGGTGATGTTGCTGTCACAGGTGGTGGTGGGGAAGGATGAGATATTCATTGCTTCTGTACTGTCATCCGTGGTCCCTGTATACTTATATTGGTAGGTTAGGGTTAGGTATTCTCACTTTGTCTTCTGTTTTCCTTGAGTCACAGAGGAAAAAATCCCCTACTGAAATTAAACTTTTGCTCAGCCTGTATTCTCTTCTTCTCGGATCACTTCTGCTAGAGCAAGCTTTCTGTATTAGTGAAGGTTCATGAGTTAAATTTCTAATGACATTACGGTTTTGCATTCTAAAGCCAGTATGTTTTTAATGGTGGTACATCCATGGTAGTTGCATGTGAACTGTATTCACTTGCAGGCTGTCCTCCTTCGTTCTTTATTCCCTTCACCTAAAATGGCAGCTGTGCCAGTGAAAATACTCTCTTGAAGGGTAGTGGTAATAGCAGTCCTATGGGGTTTATGGAACCATTCACTGCAATACTTGCCAAGGAGAACAGATTTTAAGCTCTAGAGTCCTGCCTGTGGGAGATTGCTGCAGAAATTGCACTGATTCAGTGCATCTCTTGGGTATTCTGGCCTTGGCCTCGTCTTGCTGATTTCCCTATTTTCAGGACAGAACCAGCTGGTCAACTGCAAGTCTTCTTTCAAAGCTGGACTTAAGGGAGGCCCTGTACTGCTGTTACACTGTTGTGGGTAGTTTTTCTGTTGCCTCGCATGAACCCTCTTTGTTGTTCTGGCAAAAATTAGAGGTAACTGAGGGGTTTGAGTTCTTTGCTGTGTATGACTTCAGGTATTACTAACAAGAAAAGCTCTTTACTAATCCACCGATTCTAAGCTTGGATATTGTAAATAAAATAATAAAATGAGTACAAGAGCTTTAGATGTTAGTATACGAGTATTAGACAGTAAAGATTATATGAATGGATTAAATGAGAAAGAGTATGCAGTCTTTTGTAACGAGAAGAGAAAGCGCTCTGTGAAATTGTGCTCTTCTTCAGGAGTCCCACTTCTGTTGTATCCTAGTTTTCAAGCACCGTTGATTGATTACCAACTAAACAGCTTCTAAGCTAACAAAATGTACTTGTTAAAAAATCAAGGAAAAGGTTACAATTAGCTATTCTAAACCGTTGCCACAGAGTTTAAATTTGCCTTTTCCTGTCACCTTTGTTTCTGGAGCAATATGTTGCTTAGAAATCTTTGCTATTAACATGCATTTCTGATATTGAATCTAGTTAGTAATTCTAATTTGTATGTTTTCAAATGACTGGGAAAATACAGAACTTTTGCAGTGTAGTTAAGGTTGTCTGTCATTTAACTTTGCAGATGTCACCATGCTATGAAGCTGACCATGCTTGTGTACTTCTTGTTTTTGTTGTGTTTTGTGTTTTTTTTTTGTTGTTTCTTCTTGTTTTTTAACCCTAATTTCTGTTTTGTGTTTATTTGTATTAGTTACTGTAGTAGAAGAATCTTAAGAAATTACTTCTGAAGTCAATTGTAAATTAGTCTTACTTTAGCAAAGTTGGGTCTTGCTAATGATGCTTATCTGAATCTATTCTTCGGAGACTAGAAAACATACAGATCAATTTTTCTCGGTTCATGAGAATAATTGTTAAAAGTCATGTCAGTATGCTGGTGGAAAAGATCACATAAAAGATACAAGATATTAACAGTTTGCCCAGTTTTTAGCACGTCATCTAATTTAATAAAAATTTTCACTATTCTAATGTAATGAAAGTGTCATTAAAAATCTTTCCTCTTTTTGTTACAAAACAAATCTGAAGTTGTTACTTGTTTCAGTTTAAGTCAGATGTAGTTCCTGTTTGTATATGCCAGAACACTTAAATCTTAAGAAGTGGGAGAATTGATGAATTTCAGAATTGAACTTTCTCTATGTCATCACGTGTTTTCTCAGGCGTGGAGGTAGGTAGAGGACTTGAGATATATTTGACTGAAATGTCATCAAAAATTTGTTGGGAGATGGAATTGAAGCAGATTTTTAAATTAATATTTGTATTATTGTTGTTTATTTATATGAAACGTTACAAACACTGTTGAATGTCAACTTATAGGTGGGGAGAAATTACTAACTTGTGTAACAACCTATGCTTCTGTGTTCACTAAATGGGACCTTTCAGACAAACCTGAATGCCTGTGTCACTCCTTTGAAGGATAAAAATTAACATTACAGTGAGGACAAAGGGGTGCTGTAGTTCTTGATCTTCCCAATTATGTGATATATCTTTTCTCCCCCATCTGTACAAATGATATGATGTCTAGAAAGCAGTATATCTGACACAGTGGTATTTGGTGAGTAGTGTTTTGTAGCAGTTTTTACTATGCACAGGTCTTCTAGCAGCCTCTTGCTTGTTTCAATGGCTCCATTAACACTTAAGATAATACATGTATAATAAAACAAAGCATGTAGATCTGTCATTCCACCTCCAGGTTCCTGTGGCATTATTTAGTCACTGCTCTTGTGCTTCATGATGTCACCAGCGTTCCTTGTTAGAATTGCAGCATTACCTCATACATTAAATGCCCAATTTAAACTACACTATGAAATTATAAAATAGAAACTGGCTTCTTGATTTATTGGAGCTAGTTATACATAGTCCTCTAGGTAGTTGCAGAGTACGTGGTATGTTGTGGTCTTTTTTTTTTTTTTTTTTTTTTTTCCTAGTAGTAAATGGTAGTCAGCAGCACACTTATTGCAGTGCTTTTTCCAAGAATTTTAGCACATTAGAAAGAGTCCATCATCTATGCTGGAAATGAGATAACAGTTGAAGAAATGCTGTTGCTAATATTAAATGACTGAGATATGTTTTATGTTCCCAGACTGGCTGGCTGATGAAAGGACCAATAACACTTGCATTGTAGGGGGAGAGAGGGGGAAAGCTGAAATGAAGTGTAAGCAGTGATTGATTTCTAATTTTTTTGTATTTGCTAATTTTGTACAAAACCATTATTTTAAAATGCAGGGAGGAGTGATAACGTGAAACAACTCTGGTAACTAATAAACTTTTTAGTTTCTGCTTCATATGTTTACTTTTCATTAAATTTAGGGATGGTTGTGACTGTGTTGTTGTGATTCAGTCAACATTTATTTCTATCTGTTTTTCATATACAAAGGCATTGGGATGCCAGAAAATAAACTGTTAA